TCTGTCTCTCTGTCTTTCTGGCAAGTGCACGCGCCCTATAGCAAAAACTTCTTAAAAAAAAAAAAAAAAAGATTTTTGCCAAAGGATGCATGTGCTGGCCAGAGGGAGATAAGAGACACAGAGAAATCACCCTTGGGGGTAGGCTATGCTGCAATCCTTTCCCCATTCTCCTTTCAGGACTTTGGGCCTATATACATGGCTGGCCGGTTTTTCAAGCCACTAGGTTTGAGACTTGAATGGCAGAGTCAGCCAGGTAGGATACAGCACCTTAACTACCACACCACTTGCTGGCACATAACAGTATCTTTTTTTTTTTTTTAATAATTATCTATTTTCATTTGTTGTTATTTATTTATTTTTAATTTGGCCAGAGAGAGACAGAGAAAGGGAAAGCGAGAAAGCAAGCCACCAGGTTCGGGACTCGAACTGCAGTCAGCCATGTGGGAATCCAGTGCTTTTAACCACCATGCCACCTGCCAGTCCCTCTTATTGTGGTTTTATTTATTTTAATTTGACCACAGAAGGATAGAGTGAGTAAGTGAGTGAGAGAGAGAGAAATCAAGTCACCAGGTTCGGGACTCAAACTGAGGTTGGCCATGTGGGCGTCCAGTGCTGTCAACCATGCACCACTTGCCAGCCCCCTTGAGAGGGATTTTTGCTATAGGGTACGTGCACTGGCTGGAGAGACTGAGAGACACAAAGCAAGAAATCGCCCTCCTGGGGGAAGGCCATGCCGCAATCCCTTCTCCATTCTCATTTCGGGATCTTGGGCATGCACACGTGTGCTGCCGGGTCCGAGACTCCAACTGCAGTCAATTACGTGGGAGTCCAGCCATGAAATCATGACGCCACCTTCAGTCCCAGTCCCTCCCCCCCTTTCCAGGAAAAGTTACATAATTCACCTGGTTACTAGCTCAGGGTTGAAAATGGTATTGAGGGGCCAGCTGGCAGTATGGTGGTTAAGGCAGTTGGATCCTGTTTGGCCGACTGCAGTTTGTGTCCTGGACCTGGTGGCTTGAAAAACACTGATGCAAATGTACATGCCCGAAGTCCTGAAAGGAGAATTGAACGAAATGCAGTGTGACCACCCCCATGGGGTGTTATTTTTCACTATCTCTGCCCTTCTCTCACTTTCTCTGGTGAGCACACACACCTTGTAGGAAGTTAAAAAAAAAAAAAAAAAAGGAAATTAGTAGTGAGCATAGTCCTCAGTGGCATATTCATGTCTCTGAACAGTTGAAATGACTTGCCTTGCTAATTCTAGAGTTAGGGTTTCACTCTTTAAGTTTGAATCTTTGGGAACCAACAGGTGGTGTAATGCTTATGTTGTTGGAGTCCCACGTAGTTGACTGTGGTTTAAGTCCCAGACCCAGTGGCTTAAAACTCACACCAGGCATGTGTACATGCATGCACAATATCCCGAGAGGAGAATGGAGACCAAGGGATTGTGGCATGGCCATCCCCCCCCCCGGGGGGGGATTTCTCACTTTCTGTCTCTCCGTCTCTCTGGCGTGCTCATGTGCCCGATAGCAAAAATTTCTTTAAAAAAATGAAACAAAACAGTAAAAAACTGAATCTTTGAATTTGGTATTGTGATCTCATTCGTATTCATATTAAAGCATCAGCAGCATTTTGTTGACTTGAATAGTAATAACTTTCACATGTTTGCATATGAAAAACTGCCCTTTTTTTATATATATATTGTAAAAATACATGTATAAGGGCCTGCAGATGGTGTGGAGGTTAAAGCAGCTTAGATCCCACGTGGCCAACTGATTGTTTTGATCTGGGACCTGGCAGCTTGAAAAACATGCAGGGTACATGTGCATGCATGCCCCAAAGCATGAGAGAATGGAGGCGAGGAATTGTGTCATGGCCATCTTCCCAAGGGGTGTTATTTTACTTTCTGTCTCTTGTCTCTGGCAAGTGCACACACCCTATAACAAACAACAAAACAAAATCATGTATGAAATTAAAAAAAAAAATTGTTAGAAGACATGTGCTCACCAGAGAGAGGATGTGAGAGAGAAACTAAGGGGCCCCCCCGGGGGGGTTACAACCGTGCCACAATCCCTAAAAGTTATATATATAATGCATTGATATAGACACATACATTTGCATGGACATTTCATCTCATTAATTAGTTAACAGATACCTAGAAGTGGTTTTAGCATTTAATAATATAGTTTGAGGGGCTGGTAAGTGGCGTGGTTGTTGGGGCATCGTTCTCCCACATGGCTGACTGCAGTTCAAGTCCTGGACCTGGAGGCCTACTTTCTCACTCTCCCTCCCCCCTCTCATCAAATTGAATAATAATAGTAGTAGTAATAAAATAAATAATTATACACACACACACAGTCTGGGGACTCATAGGTAGCAAAGTGATTAAGGCTCTTGACTCCCACATGGCTGACCACAGTTCAAGTTCCAGACTTAGTGGCTTGAAACTCATGCCAGGAACTTGTGCATGCATGCTCAAAATCCTGACAGGAGAATGGAGGAGAAGGGATTGTGGCATGGCCATCCTCCCTAGGGGATGATTTCTCACTTTCTGTCTGTCTCTTTCTTTCTCTTTGGTGGGCATTTGTGCCCATTGCAAAAATTTCTCAAAAGGACCAGCAGATAGCGTAATGGTTATGTTACTGGACTCCCATGTAATTGACTGCAGTTTGAGTTTGGACCTGGTGGCTTGAAACTGGCTGGGCACATGTGTGTGTATGTCCAAGATCCCAAAAGGAAAATGGAGGAAAAGGGATTACAGTGTGACTATCCCCTGTGAGGGGCAATTTCTCGCTTTCTGTCCCCAAAAGGAAAATGTGCCCTGTAGCAAAAAAAAAAAAAAAAAAAAAAAAAAGAAAAGAAAAAGAAAAAAAAATCTCAAAAAAAAAAAAAGTGTTGTATGTTTTCTGAATGAGCTTCACTCTTTTTCCCACTTTCTAAATTTTTTAAAAAAAAATTCTTTTTCACTATAGGGCAAGTGCACTTGCCAGAGACAGACGGAGAGAGAAGGAAAGCGAGAATACATCCCCAGTGGGTACTGGTCATGCTGCAATCCTTTCCCCTCCATTTCTCGGGATTTGGGCACATGTACACACATGCCCTGCATGTCCTCAGTCCATCAGCCAGGTCTGGGACTTGAACTTTGCAGTGAGCCATGCGGGAGCTAGCTGCCCCACTCCACCACTGGCCCACACTTTACTTTCTCTTCTCCCAGTGTTGATCACGTTTTCTCTACTCTTTATCCTTTCTTTTCGGTCTCTGCGCTGAGCCTGAGCATTGCTGCAGAACTCTTCTGAGGAAGTACTTCTGGCCAAGGGAAGGGGTCTACACTGAGAACTTTGTGATTGTTGAGAGACATTTCAGTACTGCACCTGACACAGGGCAAGATTTGTTACCTTCCCATCTCATACTGGTTTCCTTATATGTTATATTTTCTTATTTATATTCTTGTCACATCTGTTACAAATGCTATTATTTTAAAATTACAGTTACCTATAAACTAGTTAACTTCTCTAGATAATTGAGAACAGAGTATAATTTTATTTTTTTCTAGAGGGCATGTGCACTTGCCAGAGCATAACAGAAGAGAGCATCCCCATGGGGATTTGTCACACTTCAATCCTCTCTCCATTTCTCCCTCCTTTTGGGATTTGGGAGATGCATACACATACCAGGAGTGTTTCTCAAGCCCTCCGGTCCAGGATTCGATCCATATGGGATCTGGCTGCCTTAAACCATAAGGCCACACAACCAGCCTTATAATTTTACATGATTAATTTTTTAAAAAGAATTATTTATTCAGTTTTATTATCATTATTTAAAAATTTGCTATAGGTCACGTGTGCTGACCAGAGACAGAGAGAAAGGGAGAGAGAGAGAGGGAAAGTGAGAAGGCAAGCTGCCAGGTCTGGGACTTGAACTTTGGTTGGCCGTGTGGGAGTCCAGCACCTTAACCACCATGCCACTTGCTGGCCCATCATTTTAATTTAAAAAATGATTTATTTCTTCAGAAAGAGGGAGGTAGGAGGCACCTGAGATTCCTAATGCAACATCTACCCCCTCATCAGCTGTCCTGGATCCCAGCTTGGAGAGGGAGTTCTTAGGATAGGAATCCAGAATCTTTTCCCTGTTGGTCCAGTTGTTGTTACCACTGTGTCTCCAAGTAGCCCCGATTTAAAATTGTTTACTGGGGCCCACATGTGGTATGGTGGTTAAGGTGCTGGACTCCAACATGGCCAACCATGGTTTGCATCCCAGTCCTAGTGGCTTACTTTCTCACTTTCCCTCTCCCTCTGTCTGGTCAAATTAAAAGATAATAATAATAATAAAAATAAATAAATAATTCTTTAAAAAAATTCTTTACTTTTGGTTTGTAATTTATTAGGAAAATTTTGAATTTTGATTCTGTAGATTCAATTTAGACTCCATAGACTTAAAAATTAAGGCAGGTGGTGTGGAGGTAAAGGCGACTAAATCCCACATAGGCTTCCATGTGGTTCTAGTTTGGGATGCAACGGCTTAGAAATTGCACTGGTGTGGTGGTTAAGGTGCTGGACACTCCCACATGGCCGACCATGGTTCAAGTCCTGGACCTGGTGGCTTGCTTTCTCACTTTCTCTCTCTCTCTCTGGTCAAATTAAAATAAATAAATGAATAAATAAAATTATTTTTTTAATAAAAAGAAATTGCACTGGATGCTTTTGCGTGTGTGCCCCAAATCTGAAGAGGAGAATGGAGAAGGGATTGTAGTGTGGCCATCCCTCCTGGGGTATGATCTCTCATTTTCCCTCACTCTCTCACATGTGCCCAATAGCAAAAACTTAAAAAAAGCTACATCATTGCTTCTAGGTATTATTTTACTGTGACAATTGATAGAATAATAGACACGTACTTATCTGTTTTTCATAGTATATGTATAAATAGGAAAAGCTGGAGAACACTTAGTTTGTAGAAATGATGTAATGTGTTGATTTGTAATCATATCACTTCTTGATTTACAGGTAGGCGAAAAGCAAGAGTACATCGGCCTCGTTCTCCAATATTGGAAGAAAAAGACATCCCACCCCTTGAATTTCCCAAGTCCTCTGAGGATTTAATGGTGCCTAATGAGCATATAATGAATGTTATTGCCATTTACGAGGTACTGCGGAACTTTGGCACTGTTTTACGATTATCTCCTTTTCGCTTTGAGGACTTCTGCGCAGCTCTGGTGAGCCAGGAGCAGTGCACGCTCATGGCGGAGATGCACGTTGTACTTCTGAAAGCAGTTCTGCGCGAGGAAGACACTTCCAATACTACCTTCGGACCTGCTGATCTGAAAGACAGTGTTAATTCCACGCTGTACTTTATCGATGGGATGACGTGGCCAGAGGTGCTGCGGGTGTACTGTGAGAGTGACAAGGAGTACCATCACGTTCTTCCTTTCCAGGAGTCAGAGGACTATCCATATGGACCAGTCGAGAACAAAATCAAAGTTCTTCAGTTTTTAGTAGATCAGTTTCTTACCACAAACATTGCTCGTGAGGAATTGATGTCTGAAGGGGTGATCCAGTATGATGACCATTGTAGGGTGTGTCACAAACTTGGGGATTTGCTTTGCTGTGAGACATGTTCGGCAGTTTACCATTTGGAATGTGTGAAGCCACCTCTTGAGGAGGTGCCCGAAGACGAATGGCAGTGTGAAGTCTGTGTAGCACACAAGGTGCCTGGTGTAACTGACTGTGTTGCTGAAATCCAAAAAAATAAACCATATATTCGACATGAACCTATTGGATATGACAGAAGTCGGAGGAAATACTGGTTTCTAAACCGAAGGCTCATAATGTAAGTAAATTAAATCTTTATTTTGTATGTATTTAGATTAAACTGGTTTCTTTGGTAATTGACATAGCAGACCTCTGCTGCTGTTGAGGTAAAAACCTTTGGAACTTGACAACCATGATCAAGTTGTTAAGCGAATTGGTCAATAATTATGTAAGGAGCTTGAGAGCGGACAGAGTTTGTATTTTTCAGTAGATAATCATGTTACCACACCAGAATAGTGTAAGTTTGTATATACAAAAAGCATACATTAGAAGAGCACCAGAGGGACCAGCAGTTAGCATAATGGCTATCTCGCTGGACTCCCATGTAGTCGACTGTGGTTGCAGTACTGGACTCTGTGGCTTAAACTCAAGCCAGGTGCATGTGCTTGCGCGCCCAAGATCCTGAGAGGAGAATGGAGAAGGGATTGTGGCGTGGCCATCCCCGCTGGGGGAGTGATTTCTCGTTTTCTGTCTGTCTGTCTCTCTCTGTCTTTCTGGCAAGCGCAGCGCCCTATGACAAAAACCTCTCCAAAAAAAGAAAAAAGAAAAAAAAAAGAGCACCAGAAAGTGACAAGACACACCACAGTACCACAATATCAATTCAGCCTATTCGTTTTTATTTATACTGGATATTATGGGTGCAAAATAAAGTACAGACTTCTAAATGAAATATGTAGTCTCGTGTGATTGTGAATGCTTTGTGTAGCAAAGACTAACCAACTGTGGGAAATGAGACAAAGACAACTGAGACACAGACTGAGAATGGGATTCCCTGAGCAGGAGAACTGGTCTAATAAGTCAGAGCAGTTTAACAGGTAGGTGGTTAGGTGAGGAATGACTGGCCCAGAGAGGCCTTTTCTGGCATCTTTGCCACGTGCCAGTCTGCGGTGGTATGCTGGTGGCTGAGTGGTGGAAGTGGACAGCGTTTGCATTATGCACACAGCATTGTTGTGTGTGTCTTCACGTTCAGCCTCAGTTTTCTGTGCAGTACCTTCGTTCCCAACTGAACCTGGTGTCTTCAGTCCAGACAACCACACTTTTACTTCTAGAACCTCAACCTTCAATGCCTCAAAGGGGGTGGTAGTCTAGGAATCTGCTCCTAACACAGCTTCCAGCCAGTTTTCTCTTTTAGATATTCCCCACCTATTTCAGTGCCTTTTGAGGATTGCGAGTATAAATTGAGTTGGTTCTCGGCTTTACCACGTTAATTAGGGGTTGGACTTTCTTTTTTTTTTTGGAGTTCGGTTACACTGGGACAGGACATCTGTTGGTCCTTGGGGATTGAACTTTATTAATTCTGCTATGGCAGTACTCACTCATCCATCTGCTTTCCTGTTTTCTGTTTTTTTCCTATTCTTGTGAGTTTATGCCTTTAAAAATATTTCTTCAGCATAGTTTTAAGAGAATTTCAGGAGTGAGCAAAATTAGAACTGTTACCTTAATCCAGAAACGGATATGAGAAACTGTATATAAGGTTTTAAATGTGAGCTAGAGAGATAGATAGATAGATAGATTTCCGCCCCCCCCCCCCCAACTCGCTTTTTGCTTTAGGGTGCATATGGCTCACCGGAGAGACAGAGATAGACAGAAAGTGATAAATCACCCCCTGGGGGGATGGCCACAACTCAGTTCCTTCTCCTACATTCTCCTCTCAGCGTTTTGGGCATGCACGCACATCTAGCATGAATTTGAAGCTGCCAGGCCTAGGACCTGAACTGCAGTTGGCCAAGTGGGAGTCCAGTGCCGTAACAACTACACCATCTGCTGGCCCCTTTAATATGTATTGTATGTCTTTTGATTTGGATCAGTTATTTGAAAAACTAAGTGTAATTTTGTTCCTTGTTCGTAAATCTCACAAGTATCTTGGCATGGTGTTCATTGGCCATATTTTTTTTTGATATCTTATTATTACAGTATAGCACAGAAACCTTTGTGAACAAGGTCATCACGAATGTCGAGATAACTGTTAACCACATCTTCGTTTGAACTTTAATGCTGTGTTGTCATTGTAAGTGCACCTTCAGTCACACCACCTGTCCCGGAGCCTAGTGATTGTACTCTAGACATTCAGCAGTAAAGGCCGTGTCCTCTTAGTCTCAGATACCCTCCAGAAAGGAGCTCCTGATCATCCAGATTGCTGTGAACAAATTAGAGAGTGAAATCTACTCCATGCTCCTATCCTCCCATTCCTATGCTTTCCTTCCCTATGCTGTCTTTCCTCATCTTTTTGGGTGTTCATTCTTACCACCTTTTTTCTTTCTTGTGCTGACAGTTTTGACCAGATAGAGACCAAAGGTACTTTGCCCTGATATATTGGATCTTTGGAAAAGTCACTATGTGTTTTTGCATAGGACAACAGAAAAAGGATGTCATGACTTGACATCAAGGTAGATTAGCCTGGAGCATCTTTAAGGCTTATTATATAGTAATCAGTAATCAAGGCCTTAGTTTTAGAGATCTGTAGGTAGACCTAGTCAGCTATGATTTAGTAGTAATAATAGCCACGATTAACATTTACTGAGTGCTTAATGTGTACCTCCCAGTATCCTAAGCATTTTATATGTATTTTTTCATTAATCCTTTCAGTACCCAATAATGTATGTAGTATGTTTGTCTGCATTTAATAGATGAAGAGACTAAAGCTCAAAGAGGTTAAATAATTTTCCCTTGGACTTTGCCCAAGACCCTAAGGCTGTCAGAGTTTTTTTTTTTAATTTTAAGAATTATTTTATTTATTTATTTATTTTAATTTGACCAGAGAGGGAGAGAGAGAGAGAGAGAAAGTGAGAAAGTAAGCCACCAGGTCCAGGATTTGAACCGCTGTCAGCCATGTGGGAATCCAGCACCCTTAACCACCACGCCACCTGCTGGCCCCAGGCTGTCAGAATTTTTTAAGAACCTGTTTATAAGAATATTTTCAAGGGACCAGGAGATGGCGTAATGGCTACATTGCTGGACTCCAATGTAGTTGACTGTGGTTCAAGTCCCGGACCCAGTGGCTTAAGCTCACACCAGGTGCATGTGTGTGCATGCCCAAAATCCCGAGAGGAGAAGGGATTGTGGCGTGACCATCCCCCCTGGGAGGTGATTTCTCACTTTCTGTCTCTCTCTGTCTTTCTTTTTTGGGGGGAGGGGGAGGTTTTTCTTTACAGAGTGTGTGTACTCGCCAGACAGACAGAGAGAGACATAGAGACAGAAAGCGAGAAATCCCCCCCCCCCAGGGGGGATGGCCACGCCACAATCCCTTCTCCTCCATTCTCCTCTCGGGATCTTGGGCATGCACGCACACGCTCCCGGCGTGAGCTTTAAGCCACCGGGTCCGGGAAGCGAACCGCGGTCGACTACGTGGGAGTCCAGCGACATAGCCATCACGCTAACTGCTGGTTCCCTCTCTCTGTCTTTCTGGCGAGCGCACGTGCCCTATAGCAAAAACCTCTCCAAAAAAAAAAAAAAAAGATTTTCAACACCTGATTTATCTTAAAGTTTATTACTGATTTCTTCCATGAGAGAGAGACAAAACCCTACCAGAGTCTTAACACCACAGTACACCCCTAGTTCAGCCAGCCCGTGCATGAGTGTGCATGTGCACCTACTATATTTAGGTCATAGACCTCACCTTAGGACGTGGGTCTGGGCCTTCCCATGTCTGTTTAGCCCCACAGGATTTGCATTATCACTGTACCACCATTGAGGCCTTTTCTTTCTTTCTTTCTTTCTTTTTTTTTTTTTTTTAAAAGAATTACTTTAACTATTTATTTTAATTTGACTAGAGAGGGGCAGAGAGAGAGAGAGAAAGAGAATCAAGCAAGTTGCCAGGTCTGAGACTCGAACCGTGGTCAGCTATGTGGGAGTCCAGCCACCATGCCACCTGCTGGACCCATCTGGGCCTTTTCACTGCTTCATTTTATACTAAGGTCTAGTTCCCAGACCATCATCATGAGAAGACTGTAACTTGCGTTGTTGTATAGCTGTTGAAATGTTTGTAACTGTGGGAGAAAGATACTGTCATGATTTTTTTATTTCTGAGACTCATTAAAAACTTGAAATAAAAATGTCTTTAGAAAATATAAACTAAATGAAGTGGCATTCCCAGAAAAATCTTGCACGTCACCACCTTCTGCATTCCTCTGATTGCTCAGATTTAAGTCCAAAATTAGAAAAAAAACATATAATCCATCAGATGACCAGAAACCACCACAGAGACGTAAGAAATATGAGAAACGAAGAAAATATATCTCCTCTAATCAAAAAAATAGCTCCTCTTGGGGATCAGCAGTTAGCGTAATGGCTATGTCGCTGGACTCCCACGTAGTCGACCGCGGTTCGCGTCCCAGACCTGGTGGCTTAAAACTCACGCCGGGCGTGTGTTTGTGCATGCCCAAGATCCCGAGACGAGACTGGAGGAGAAGGGATTGCGGCGTGGCCAGCCCCCCTGGGGGTTGATGTCTCGCTTTCTGTCTCTCTGTCTCTGTCTGTCTGGGGAGCGCACGTGCCCTATGGCAAAAACCTCTAAAAAAAAAAAAAAAGAAGAAGAAAAAAAAATAACTCCTCTTCCTCCACAAAGAATACAAGGGAACTCATGGAAATGTCAGATAAACAATTTAAAATATTCATAGTGACAGAGCCAACAGAGATACAAGAGAATAGACAAAACGAACTCCAGAAGATGCAAGAGAAAAGATACACCAAGTTCCAGGAGGTGAGGAAGTTCTTACACGATCTGAAAGAGAAGATACACATCATAAAAAAGAATCAAATGGAATTGTTAGAGATGAAGGCTGTAATACAGGAAATCAAAACTTCCATTGAAAGTAACAAAAGCAAATTAGACCACACAGAAGATCGAATCTCAGATGTAGATGGTAGAACCTCTGACCTAGAAAAATTCACCAAAAAGACTGAGGAAGTAACCCCCCAAAAGTGAGAATAACATATGAGTTATACTAGATACCATTAAATGCCCCAACATCTGGATCATCAGTATCCCTTAAGGTGAAGAAACTAATAAGGGTATAGATA